AGGTTTGGAGCCCCACAGAAGAAACAGGGATCAAGACCAGGCAGGATCACCATGGGCAGTGCCTCCTGGGAATATATTTCATCAAAGTCGTGGCAGTTGAGAAAACATAAGACCAACTTCCTGGCAGACCACGTGATCCAAAGCCGAGGCCCATCTTGTCGCTGCCTGTAGGCAAATGAACTCAAGACAGTGGTAGCAAGCCCTACAACACATACAGCTGTCACAGGGCAGCTTACTGCTATACTAGTGGAGTACATCAAAGGCTTGGTGAGCAACTGTTCATCAGGGCACCCAAGGGGAAATGTAGGAGTAATGGCCACAAACTGATGGAAGACCAATTCAGGCTCAACATGAGGAAAAACTTCTTCACAATCAGGGTGTCCAGACTGTGGAATAAGCTCCCTCCTGAGGTGGTGCAGTCACCTACCCTGGAAATCTTCGTGAGGAGGATAGACAGTCACCTTGCTGGGGTCACCTGACCCCCAGTTCTCTTTCCTGCTTGGTGCAGGGGGCTTTTGGCCTTACAATCTATGAATCACTGTAACATCTGAGCTCATTTCAGAAATGCATTGAAGGATATTAATAGCATTTGGCACAAGCAATTTATCATGTGCAAGCTATTGTATTGACTTAGTAATGGTCTTTCCCAGTGCTTTCCCAAGGCTTGCTGTGCCTCAACAGCATTCTCACCTGCTGGCAGCCAAGGCACCAAGGCATTGAGATTGGGGTGGAACTGCTACTTTCCATGACCTTGTAATGGCCAGGCTGGATGCTTTTGACAGAGATGTACCTATTTCTGATCTTTAGTCGTAGTAGCAGGCTTTAAAATCTGAAGTTTAAATCTTCAGTCACTTCAACTCTAGGTTCAGTTTAACCAGTTGAGATTCATGGGCCTATTTAGTCTGAACTCATAAAGATCAGCTAAGTTTTCTAAATAATACTTTTTTAGTCCCTTCACACTAACTTGGTTAAGTAACCAAACTGAAAGAAACAAAAGTTGAGAGGAATGTCAGTGACTTTACAGACACAAGATACACATTAGTGTAAGTCAGGCACATACAATCAATTAAGTGCATTCCAAACTGCAGACCTTATATGCTGCTTTTATTACTCCAGAATTGCAGTGAAATATCCCATTGTAACCACTGAGTTGTCTGTTTTACATTTACAGGAAAACTTTTGTGATAACAATATAAACATGGTTTAAACTACTGTACAAACAAGCCTTTCATTTTGGTTTAGGCTGTCCTAAAACAGAAAGTCGCTGAAGTCATTACTTAGATATCCAGAACTGAAGCATAACCACCAAAAAAGAGCAATACAGTAAAATCCCTGTTATCCGGCATTTGAGTAACTGGAACACTCTATTTACTGGAATTTCCAGCTGGCCGGACACAGGCGGTGGGGGAAAGGAAGCTCACATGCAGTGTCTGCTGCCGCCACCCACTACCGTGTGCTGCAGCTGTTCTATGTGCAGCGGCCACTGCCATCGCCCCCCGCCAGTCCTCTGCTCTGTGTGCGGCCACTGCCTTCCCCCTCCCCACTTCTCCGCATCCAGCTGAAAACCGCTGAACTCAGGTAACCAGCATTTTTAGATACCCGGCATCCCCCATTCCCGACTTGTGCCGGATAACAGATTTTACTGTAGTTTTCAAGTGAATACAAATAAACCTGAGTAGTTGCCTTGAAACTGTGTGGAGGGAAAATTAAATAGTTTGTGAGAACATCGTGAATTAGGAACATTTAATCCTGATGGTAAAAGACTCTGAGATTAAAGACTCAAATTTGTATGCTACCACTGCTGCTTATAGTTGTGCAAAGTATTCAGAACTTCTTCTGGGTCATTGACACAGGTTATTGTAGTGGTATTGGAATGGTACATCATTGTGGCATTTACTCGTGACAGAATATGGGTTTCTTCTCTCCTCCCCACACTGACATGTTGTTTGCTTTTATGACTTTGGATCAAGTCCATTAAATCAAATGTAATAGTTTTGTTTCCTGTAATATTATGTGTTTGCATTGTGCTCTTCCTTTATTTTTTTCAACTTCTGCAGGCATAGCTGAGAGTCTGACCCTGCATGTCCCAGGATGCAGTGTGTTTCTTTTTGGGCATGCTGATCAACCTGAGAAGCGAAGCCTTGTCCAGAGAAGAAAGCAGCTAGGTTGGTTTATAGGGAAGGACGTCAAATCAATGGAAAATAAACCTGATATAGGAGCCACACTTTCCCAAAGATATGGTCTAACAGGTAGGAACTGCCTTAGTTAAAATGTATAAATTATAATGTTAAGAAATAATGTGGGCTGGATTCAAATCTTACTGAAGTCAGTGGACTCACTGGAATAGAATTTGAATCGTGCCCTGTAAAAGGGCCAAATCCTAAAATGTTTTACCAAGTCCCTACAGGTGTGTGTGGTGGAGTGGGACTTCCATTGGTCTCCATATCCAACTAAGACCCCAATGATTAGATTCTGTAATAAAATGTATGGAGAAAATATTGGCAGCTACTTTAAAAGTATGGGGGGAAAATCTTCACAATGCTACATGAAACTCAGTGAAGATAGTATTTCAAAATGTGTGATTTCTAGGAGAGTGATGGGATGAAATTGTTTTTAGCATGAGAAGGAGCTTATTAAAGCTATTGAATTGTTCCATGGGATGCTAGAAAGAAGCAGAATCTTCCATCTTTTGTACATGAACAGGCAGGCATCACTCTGCATCTGGGCTAGTAAATCTCCTTGGAGTTCAGAGATTATGAAGACTGGTATTTATTACTGATTTTCTCAGGCTGCTTCTTGAGAAGAAATCATTAACAAACAGGGAGACTTTTCTAAATATTTGAATTATTTTTCTCTGCTATTTTTCTTGGTGGCCATTTTTAGATGTATGTAGACATTTTTGGCTAAAACATCAATATTGATTGATTGATTGATTTGTATGCAAGTCTGCTCACTAATTGTTTCTTCAGTTAAGGAAATGTCTCAAGGATAGACAGTTATGTTGTTCTCCAAATACAATAGAAATAGCCAATATTACAAGGCAGAAATGATTTTAAAATCTCACAGAAAGGCTTTGGTTTTTATACTGAAACACCTTTGTATTCATACTTTTGTGCATAATTTACTGTGGATAGATTGGGAGATAATAAGTGAGGAGGATAAGAAAAGCAATAATTTTTCTCTTTCCTAGCTATGAAATCATCCTCTGAAGGGACAACTGCTGTTCTCACAACACATACCACTTAATTGATGATTTAGAAATTACTGTAGAATAAAACCAAACGTAGCTTAATCCATCAAACACCTACACTCAAAAGGGGAATTTTAAATTAGACTTCAGCCTTATGATGTCGGACAAAAATTAGTGAAAAAGCAAATTTCAGTTGTGGTCTTCCCAGACATTTACTCCTAAAGAAAGGAGAGGATATGGGGAAGGAATAAAAGGCAATGCACATCTGCTATGAATGCCAATTAAGACTGTAAGTGAAGATCTGTCAATAAAGTTTAGTACTTTGAGGTCTACAGATAAACATCACATTAGAAATGACACCTTTAGCATTTATGTAGTCATGTAAACATCATCATCAGGTATATTTAGTGGTAAATTCTGCATTGTCTTTTTAAAAATGGATCAAAGAGAGTAGCTTCACCACCTGTATTGGGTACTGAAAATACTGATTATATTAGTCAGCAATGAGCACTGCAGCAGACAATCCTTGTCTTTTACTTCAGGAAATCCAATTAATGATCAATCCCATGAACTACCCTTTATCCAGTTCTGTGAAAAGGAGGGATCAGTCCCCTTTCTAGTGGACTCTTTAACAGTTAATTCTGAATTATAATGTTGGGTGTGATGTTTTATAAAAAAAAAACAGGGGTTAATTATTGCTGCTAAATTTCAATAAGGAAAGGAAATGAAAAGCCAGGAAAACATGCAGAGAGCTTGATACTTTTCCTGTTAAAATCAGTGAAAAATACATGGACATATATAATATTAATACTACTATTCTGCTCCAAAATCTACCACTTCAGTGAAATGAATGTGAGATGGAAGAGCATCATGAGCAACATTGTGTATATGAGAATGCTCAATATCCTGCACTGCTTCAGAAATCTGATTCCTGGTATTACCATGATTCATAGCTCAATTATCCACAGCTAGTGTCAGTCATAGCCATGTATACCATTTTTGGGATCAATACCAGAGTCCAGCCACTTGGCTCATTTTACCAAACGCTGCTTGATATTTGCAAGATACCACTGAAACTTAACATGAGGCAAGCCACTCACAATTCCTGTTTATTCTAGGCATAAACTCTGTGCACGTGCTGATAGGTCATAAAAGGAGGTCACCCTGGCTGTTCCCGGATCTTAGATCTAGAGCAGTGTGAAATGTAACAGTTACAGTTTGACCCTCCCAAGTTTCATTTCAAGTTTCAGAGGGTGTGTCTATATGTGCATTAACGTGCTTTAGTTAATGTATATTAAATGTAGTACCTCCATTGTGAGGGTGCCTATACATGAGCATGGAGACTGCTCTGACATTCTGGAATTCCAGTGCTTTGGAGCAGACACGATTAATCGAGTCTGCTGCAGCATGGCAATTACCATGCTCCAGCAGCCTCCTGCATCTTGTATATCAGCATCCCTGTACTTAAAAATGGTGGCAGGGGTGCTTGAACTAAACCTTGTCAAACGAGCTTTAGTTCAAGCGCTCCTGCTACCTATTTTAAGCATGGGGACACTGGTACACGAGACGTAGTGGCATTTTAATTAGAGCAGCTCTTAGAGTTGCTCTAGTTAAAGCACTGCCCACCCCATCCCCAGAGCACATGTAAAAGTGCCCTGAAGTACTAGGAAAATGCACATTAGCCTAGTTTGATGTGCATTAAGTAAAGTGTATGTTTTTAAAGTTATGCTTAATGTGCATTAGCCTATTTTAATGCACATTAAGTAAAAAAAAAGGTTTTTTACGTGATGCTTTAATGTGCATTAAAATAGGCTAATGTGCATTAAAGTGCATGTGTAAACATGCCCAGAGTTGAACAAATCCCAACATCACAAAGCAAAACTCATTTGAACCACTACATTTCACTTAGATTCACATAAGGCAAAACCAAGTGCAATGAGAGGTGCAGGCACATACAAGAGCCCACATTCACCCCAAGCTGGATTTGCATGCATCTGAAACCTTTCCTAATCTTTTGAGTAATCCAAGATTAAAGTTTATTATCAGACTCAGAACTCAGAATGTCAATTTCACTGACTTTGGGATGTCATATCAAAGCAGCGTGGACTTTGAGCTGTACTTAGAATGTCTGTCCTCCTCTGAAATAGGTGGTTGTGCTCATTTGCATGTTGGTATGCAGTATTTTTGTCTATCCTACTTTTGTTCTTTTTAAGCACTGTAGACTGATCACAGCTCAAACTGAACAGTTTGCTTTTCAGCTGGAGGGAGAGGAACAAAGTGCTCAGTGCCATTTTGTGGCTTTTTATTTTTGCTAAGATTGACAATGAAGCAGTAAGGCTGATCTCCACATTAACATCCGAATTCTGGCAAGATGACGTGCTGAAGTGACTGCCAAAAACCCGTACATACAAGGAGAATAACAGGATAGATATTTTCCATCCATTCAAATCCTAACTCTCCCAAAATTCTGTTGAGCAGCTGCTCCACAACCCTTCCATGGCAGGATCTTGAAAGGGGTCAGGGAATATGGCCTGAATGTAGTTGTTCTGTTATTTGTAATATTGTAGCACATGGAAGCCCCTATCTGTGGATCTGGATATTGCACACAGGATGGAACTATCCTGTCTTTTCCTTAACCTACAGGTTACTCACTCAGCATTCTGTGACACAGAAAATTGAACACTTGGTAAGACTGGGCTATGGCCTTATAACATGAACAAGCAGAATGCCTTATAACAGCATGTCTCCATAATATTCCTAACACATTTAATTTTGGAACAGCAATATTATTTCTCCAGTGTTGAATGCAGTGGAGAAGCCCCAAGTTGTATAGTGTTTACTTTAAAACTCCTTTTTTTTTTTTGTCGGAGTTCTCTAATATATGAGGCCAGTCCATTAAACCAGCTGGATTCTCCAGCTCACTTACTACCAATTGATTTAATATGTAAAACGTCCTGGGAAAATAAGCAAGAGCATTACAGAGTTATCTTCTCTCCTCCAGATAAAATAAGGCTCTTTGTGTACTTTTGAAAAAAAATACTCTCAGCATCCTTGATTTTATTGAAAATGACAATGTTTGGATCCAGTTTAAGAGAACTTATGAGATGTGAATAATTTTCTGAGAAAAGAATACATGTTTTTCTTCTATGATCACTGCTTTTTATTTTTCTAATGGGCTTTTCACCATTGTTTTGTCTGAATGCATTTTTATTTTTGTTGCTCCAGACATGATCCTGCCACAAGCATCTTTAAACGAGACATTAATAGCATAGTTCACAGTCATTACTGCCAGTGCTCAAACACAAATATTGCATTTATGTTTGGAGCAAAAAATACACATCAGATCTTAATTAAGTACATTTGTTTTTTGCTGTGCTTAAACAATCTGGCATAGAGAGTTGACATCACTATCAGTTAACTGTAAAGGTCTTTGCAATAGTGGGATCACCAGCTGTACAGTATAAGATTCAGAGTTTTAAAAAAAATAGCAAAATTGTCAGGGAAACGTTAGGCTTTATACACTTCCCTGACACATAAGTAGAGTGGGAGAACTATTCATAATGAATAATTTATCTGAATTTGGCCTCTCTGTTGTTGCTGTTTTTAGAATGTTCATAAACAAACTGATTTTGTGGGATGCAGTGTGATGTTAGCAGACAGTACTGGCAAAGGAGTCAGGAAACATGGGTTCTTGACCAGTTCACTCTTATCTTTGGCAAGATGCTATATCGCTTCTATCATGCTGTTTCTCCTCCCACCACTTGTTTGTTTAGATAGCCAGTTCCTTGGGGTGGGGGCTGTTATTTAAGTGTCATGGTTGAAATTATTAGACACTGCTGCAGTAGTAATAAATAAAAACAACTGAATAATTTATATAGGAAACTGCAAACTTTGGATTGACCATCAGTTGTCAAAAGCAGTTATTGATATGATCAATCATGCTATGATTGATCACCTGAGTTGCATGACTCATTCCCGTTCCCTGTGTACAAAAGGATTGAATCTTAGCAAGTGCCATTCTGGGGCTTTATTAGTGATATAGTAGTAAAAGTAAATGGGCAAAATATTTTTTACATATGAAGCCAAATATTTACAAATTGTAATAAAGCAATATACATTTTACCAACATTTAAAAGGAGAGGAAACATAAATATTAGTGGAAGAATGCAACTCATTCATCACTTCAGAATTCGTTCTTTGAAATGCCAATATTTACTTTTGCTTTTGTTAAACAATTTATTTAACCAGTAAAGTTAACCTGAAGCATCTTACTTGTAGGGCAGTCTGTCTTTCTTAATCAGTTTTTAAACTGATTGAGGCACAAGGGATCTAAATGGAAGACAAGCTCATAATGAATTTCCAAATCTTCCACAGTATGTAGAATCCCACGATGTGACACAGAAGTTATACCTAAGCAAAATGAATCACAGTCCCTAACTCACCTGAGAGTTAGAGCAATCTTACAACTTTTAGTAGTTTGCTGTAGTACCTAATGAAGTGTAAGTGTATGTATGTGTATAGCAAGTTGGTGGGTAAATTAAAGTTTAGATTTAGCTGGTTGTCCTCATTTTCACATGGATGATTCTTGGCAGTCATTTGCAGGTGAGACACTATTTTGGAGATAACCCAGGCTCCTGTTCCTAGGAGCGCCAGCAAGCATCAGGAAGGAGATGTACTCTTATTGCTTGAGTCAAGAACCAGATGCTGTATTGTACTATGGCCTTCACTGTCTTTGCTTCTCCAGTCATATGAGTGTTGCTATCAATGCAACTCAGTGATTATACAGGGGCTCCAAACAAAAGGGCTTTCTAAAAGAGCATGTAGTCGTTGCTGAGTTGGAGGAAGTGAGGGCTTTCTGGTGTATTGCCTTTTAAAGGTGTGGAGGTAGATCAAAAGTCAGTCCATGTTTTATACTTTTTCTGTAATAGGTTGATGTTTTATAGTTGTTGCTATCTTGCAAAGAAGAACTATATCAATTCTGTGTCTTATTTGAACTGATTCATTTCCTGTAAAAATTTGGGATAGATGTCTGGTCCATTACGTTTTGAAAGAAGGAGGGAAATTTAATATTTGTGAAATCAACTCTCTAATCTAATTCATTCATGCAGAATCCCCAACAGCAAGACCAAAGGCCCCATCTCTAGGAGCTGAATTATTATATAGATATTCCATTATAATGCATGTGATAGACTTGGATGTAAAGGGAGAAGAAAAATTAAATCTGTCTTGTCTGGTTTCAATAACCTGTCTCTTTGTACGTGCAAAAGGAACGATATTGTTAGGGCTTCAGGATGTGGGAACAAAACAAAAGAAATATTAATGAGCTATAGAAGAAAAGGAAAAGCTCAGACATGTACATATTAGATACTTGTGTTAATGACACACTGGTTTGGAAACAGTAAATATAGAAAGATAAAGCTTAAATTTAGCTTAAAATAATTACTCGGGACAAGTTTTGTCCTCGGATGTTCCTGCATTGCTCTTACTGAATTCAGCTGGAGCCAGCAGGACACACTCAAGATTCTAATCCGGCCTTATGCCATTTTATTTATGTACATTTGGGGGGGGTGTGTGTGTGTGTGTGTGTGTGAGAAAGGGAAGATTAAGAGGGGAAGTCATGGGAGTTCAAAAGGAGCTTTGTTCTAATTTAGTAACCTGTTTTTTTTATAGGTATTGGAGCCAGCCCTTATGTGATGAATTGCAATGTGACTATAGACACTCAAGACTTGGCTACAGGAAGAAACATAGCAAGTGCTATCCGAGGTAGCAGTGCAAGTGGTTTGAAAGGCATACAGGGTATGGCTTTTCCCCATGATGGAAAGATTGAAATAGCTTGTAACGTAGAGAGCTTTGAAGAGGCAGACAATGTGGTGACCTCACCTGACGACTCTGGGTATATTTCATACCGTGTTCTTGGAAATACATATTATTATGTCTCCCCTCAATCAATAGAGGCTCAGATTAATAAATTGGCCACTGACCAACAAATAAAGACTGTTGGGACAGCATTAGTTGGCTTTACCCCAGAAGAGTGTAAGCAGCATGCCACATATGCATTAATGAAAGGCATTGGAGAGTTCTGGAAGATGAGGGGGGGCATTTTTATGTGACTTTCTTTTATCTCCATAGATATAAATCATGATGTATTGAGATTATGCTGTGTATGACTTAATCCCAAATTTTATTTGTGTGGGGAGATGCAAATGAGCAGTAGTGAAGCCAGTGTATTTTATGCTAATAATTTTTCCTATGGTCTGACCAGCTCCTGCTGAAAACTACAATTTGTCTGAACCTGATTCTGCAGCTGGCTGGGAAGGGAGGCTCTTAATTTTTATTGGCATGTCCAGTGATCATCAAATATCTTTCTTTCATAAACTCTACGTGTTTACAGACACCACTTGTGTTTCATTCATCTCTGCTTTGGCAGTCTCTAACTGCCGTCTCCTGGTCCCTATCTTGGGATTGTAGTGGCTGTATTGTAGTTTAAGGCTCATTCCACTGACTGGGGGGAAAAAATCCTTGTCTCAGAGGGAAGAATGGAATAGAATGGGAGAGGGAATTGGGTGCAGTTCTTTTGTCTTTTGTTGGGTTGATTGCGTTAAATATTAGGGCTGTGCAAAGCCTCAGTCCCTGATTTGATTTGGCGGAGATTCAGCCTGATTTGGTGGCCAAATCTCCAAATCTGAGTCGAATCAGAAGACCCTTTAATCTCTCCGAATCGACTCGGAATCCTCCAAATCAATTTGGAGAGATTTGGAAAGATTTGGTGATTCAGATATAGACACAGCTTTAAATGTTTTTTCTACATACCTCAAGGTACCAGAATGCTGAGATGCTGGGGTGGATGGAGCGTTCCACAGGAGCACAGGGGGTCCCCATTGCACTTGGCAGCAGACCCAGAAGTGGACCAGAAGCACTTCTGGTCCACTTGTGGGTCCACTGGGGAGTGCGTAGGGGGACCCCCGTGCCCCGTCAACTCAGTGACTGGTGCTTCCTGGGTCTGGGGGGGGCACCCAGGGTCCCCCTGCAGCCGATTGCCAAGCCAGGGGGGCCCTCAGAGCACTCAGCGGTGGACCTGGAGGTGGACCAGAAATACTTGTGGTCCACTTCTGGGTTTGCTGCCGAGCACACAGCCCCTTGCCCCCCACCCCCGCACTCCTGTCAGACTCTCCATCTGCCCCAGCATAACAGCATTCATGAGCTGTGCCTGGTACCTCGAGGTATGTAGAAAAAACATTTAAAGCTGTGTCTATGTCCGAATCACTGATTCTCCAAAACAACATCGAATCTTCAGATTTGGATTCAACAGAAGCAAATCAGGGACAGGGATCTGAATTAACAAATCAAATCACTGTCCCTGATTCAGGCCAAATCCGAATCAAATACAGCCCATTTCACACATCCCTAGTAAATATAGCTGGTCAAAAATGGGGAAAATCTCAGCAGGTATTGCCAAAATATTCCATTTATGGTTAAAAATGTTGAAATTTGAGCAATTTCTCTTCACTCCAGCTATGGCACTGTCAAGCAAAGAGGGGTAGCTAATGTCTCTGTGCATAACTGGGTCTCAGTAACATTTGAGTATTGAGAGATAAATAGTATTGGGTCAGGCTGCCAGCCAGTAGCAGAAACACTACTCAGGTTTCCCATTGTGCAGCACTAGCAGCATATTCAAAGATTTCTCAGTAATAACTTCTCAGAGCCTCCTGCAGCCCCTGATTCTCTCAGCAGTGTCAGGGAGGGGGTATGTCCAGACCTTTTCTGGAACATCCTCTTTTTGGCTAGGGACAGATATTCAAAAAGCCTGAGCCTGAATTGCTTCAATCTTTGCAGGTTAGTCTAACCTGGCTAGGTTGTACCAGCTTGTAACCACACAGACATCCCCTCTGGACTAAGGAAATGCAGGCACATGCCTGCAGTGGCTCAGGCTAGAAGCTGGGGGGCGCTAGAGCAGCCCTCCCTTCCCTTCCACAGTGTTGAGCTGAGGGGGGGGGGGGCATGGCTAGGCCCCAGTAGGATGCTTTGATTAGGGAGGGGTTCCTACCCCCTTGCTGCTCCTCACCAGTGAGCCAGCAGGGACTTAACACAGCAGGGAGTTGCACAGAGAGTTTATAGCATTTAGCACCTCATCCAGAAAACAAAAACCTCTCTCATTATTTCAAGCTCTTCTTAAACAGCTTTTTCCAAGGAAGGAATGGATGGACATAACCAGCTACCTGCTGATTAGCTCCCAAAAGCCCTAAGCAGATATTGTCCCGTCTGCCTTTATCCTGTCTGCCTTGCACACAGACACCTCTCAGCATTAGCTGACATACCCATGCTGGCTATGGTCCATGATGTGGGGGAGAATCCTGCTTGATCAGGGAGTTGGCAGCGGGGCGGGGGTCATTGGGAAGCCAGGCAGACACTGCTGTGCCTGCAGTCTCTGCTTGAGCTCCAGCCAGGGAGCAGAGGGGTGGGGCCAGCCCAGCTCTCTCGAGCAGAGAGCCCTGCCCAGGGCTGCAAAGCATCTGGGATGCTGGAGGACTCTGGTTTAAGTTAAACCAGGAAGGGGCCTGGAACAAACACTTGACCCAAGTCAGTTAAGTCTGATACTACATTCAGGCAGCCAGGGGAAAAAAAAAAAAACTCTGCAGAACAGTGGGTCCCAGACCATGCCTGGAGCAAACACAGGAATCAGTCCTCCAGAAGAGATGCTCTGGTTTTGGCCAGAGCATCTCTGTGGTGCTCCTGCTGCCCCCCGGTGCTGTCCAAGGTAAGTTTGGGAATGGGGGTGAGGGGGTTTATGGGTGTGGGTGGGTGAGCGTGTGTGAGAGGTGGCAGGGGAATATTGGAGGGTGTTGGGAGTGGACGGGGTTCTTGGGGGCTATGGGGAGTGGAGGGGGAGCGGGGGTGGTGGTGGGGGCATGTCCCAGTGGGGGATGTGGAGGGGCTTGAGCAGGGGCTGCCATATGTCTGCCCCTCCCCGCCCCCCCACCTGGCCCCTGCAGTGCTGGTGGCAGCAGACAGCATGGCTGTGGCTCTGCTGCAGGCACAGCAGGCAGTGTCGCAGTGCCTTGTGACCCAGGCTCCTACATGCTGAATGGACCTGGCCTGGCCCGCTTGTTGCTTGGATGAGCTGGGCCAGGTCCATTCAGCATGTAGGAGTCCGGGTCACACAGTGCCACGTCACTGCTCGTCTATGCCTACAGCAGAGCCACAGCCATGTTACTTGCTGCCGCTGGGGCTGGGTGGGGGAGGCAGGCGTGTGGCAAGGCGGCAGGATGGCAAGGGGTGCAGGGGGGCAAGTGGTCGGAACTGGCAGCACTCAGTGGGACTTGGCCCAGCTCAGTGCCACACAACTCGCTAGTTTGGCTTTGCACTGGAGTGGGTCGCGTGGGTCCTGTGCAAAGGCACACTAGCTATATGGCCCGAGCAAAATCAGGCTGGTGGGGCTTGTTGGAAAATGCTCCCTACCAGCCTGATCTGTCCCAGGCCACACAGCTGCTGTGCTTTTGCACAGGAGCTGCACAACCCACTCTGGTGCAAAGCCAGACTAGCGAGTCATGCGGTGCTGAGCTGGGTCCTGCCATGCGCTGCCTCCCCGCCTGCACAGCAGGGCAGGCAGCGCTGCTGCCGGAGGCTGGATCCAGTGCGGTGCACAGGGACCGCGTGCCGAGCTGCGTTACATGCTGCTGGGACTGGGGCCCTCACACAGCCAGACTGGCCCAGTCCCATGGTGGCAGGACCCGGCATGGAGCACAGGGACTGTGCACCAAGCTACACTGGATCCTGCCGCTGCGTGAGGGCCCCAGTGCCGGCAGGACCCTGCGTGGCTTAACGCGCAGCCCCTGCCAGACCCTGCTGGTGTGGTCCCTGCTGGTGCGTGGTCCCTGCTGCAGAAGGTAAGTTATGAGCGGTGCCTGGGACCCTTCATGGGGGTGGGACTATTGCCCTGCAGGGTGACTGGGACCCTGCATGGGTGGGGGGAGGGCTGTGGCCCTGCAGAGTGGGGCAGTCAGTTTCATAGTAGTTAGGGTCAGGAGGGACCTGAACAGATCATCTAGTCTGCCCTCCTGCCACAGGCAGGAATGAGTGCTGGGTTCATAAGACCCC